TAATCCAAATACAATTTCTTTTCTTCAGTCTTAAATGCCAGGGAGTGTTATTGTGAATTGATGTACACTTGTTATTTGTGAAATTACCACTATTGTTGCAGTCTGACAAATTGCTAACAGATACACATGACAGGAACGCCAGGTATGTCTGTCATCTGACTGCTTCCGTTAGCATTTACTCTACCCCCACGATTACTGTCATTTTTATTTTATCAGCTCTGTGTTAAATCACCATCTAATTATACACCACTGCTGTGACTTATGCAGTTGAGCACGTCTCAATCCTAAGTTCTAAAAGTAACTCCACTGAGTCAGTCAGAGTGTTTTCATAACCTTCTTTCCCCCCCCTCTGGTTGTTCGGGATTATTTTTAAAATCTATTTTTCAATCAATGGTTAAGATGAGAATTGCTCAGAGACAGGGACGTGCTCTGAGAGAGTTCGCTGCTCACTTGGGCAAAGTGAAGATACGCAATAAATAAAAACACCGTCTTCTATTCTCCCCATTCCCAAATTCAGGTGACTTGGCTAGCTTTCTAATTTCTAATGCACATTTCTACTATGAAGGCAGTGGCCATGTTGAAGCTGCTGAATCTTGAGAATTCGGCTAAATATAATGAAAATATTTTGTCTTAGGGGCCAAAGTTCTTTGCACATTTAGAAATCAACTTAGCTGTATTTTGTAAGTTGTCAAATGCTTTGATATACAAGGATAAAATGTCTTAAATTGTTGCTTGGCCCTAAATTGTTTATTATTATTATTATTATTATTATTATTATTATTATTATTATTAATTGATTTTTCGAGAAAAGATTTCCTTTGTGTAACAGTCCTAGCTGTCCTGAAACTTACTTTGTAGGCCAGGCTGGCCTCAAACTCAAAGATCTGCCTGCCTCTGCCTCCCAAGTGCTGGGATTAATGGTGTGTGCTGCCACTGCCCAGCAGTCCTAAACTATTCAAGGAAGATAATTTGATGTGATTTTCATAAAAGGTTTTTTTTCCATATGTAGTTAATGATTGGAATTTGAATCTTAGAAACTGTCTATTGCGACTGACTGGAAAATTCTAGGCAATGTTTTAGGAAGGTATGCAGAAAGCATACCCTTTACATTGAGAATTTTTGTTGGCTAGACCACAGAGTTGACTCATTTCCTAATGGTCCCCTGTGTATTTACAGGGATTTCATGACTTCATTTTTCATGGTTTATGCATCTAAATTCTGATACATTTATAAAAATAATGAAGATTTTTGATAGGTTCATTTATAATAACTATAATAATAATGATGATCCTAGAATCATCACCTGTTCCAATTTATCCACGTTGGCAAGGAAACTGGTACATTTTTATTTATTTTTTTTAATGAAGAGGCAAATGCTGGAACAGATGTTTCATAGATGTAGAAGGTGCACTGAACTTCACCAGGGAATGGGTGCCTGAGTGCTCTCTGCATATACAAAAGCTGATACAAATACCTTGCTTTCTTGACCATTACACTTCTTGAAACCAAGAATTTCCAAATACTTTAACTCTCCAGGTAAGTAAACAGTATAAAGTGATAGATTACAAAGGTACATCTGTCTTTATCCTTGTGTCTTGAGAACAACTATTTAAGAAAGGAAGACTAATTTTTTTGTGTGTTTCTATAGACTAAATTAGAACATACACATAATTGTTAACTGGATGAAGATTCGAGGACTCTGAGTCTCAAACAACTGGAAGTAGGAGTAAAAATTCAAACTCAGCTCTTGTTGAAATCTAAACACATTTATTTCCTGCCCACTTTCTTTAGTAGCAGGCATATTTCCATGTATTTCACAGTGAAAATGTAAGATATACTCTTTCTTAGTTCTGTGATGTTGTTCAAGACTCTCAGGAAGGTAGCCACAATAGCCTTAAGGTACTTGGCATTGATTTGAAAGAGAAAGCACTAGGGCTCAATTAAGTTGATAGAGCCAAAGAGAATCTCAGATGTCATATATCCTTGCAAAAGCAATATCCAAGGGGTTGTGAGTCAATTTTCTGTGAAGGCAATGTGCTTGTGTGGGTGACCAGGCGGTGCCAGTGGTTTCTTTTTGTATTGGTAGGTGACTTTTTTTTTGCCATGGATTTGAACCAACCCCCTCCATCTCTGAAAGCACCTCTCTCTTCAAGAGGAGTTAAACTTGTGAAGGCCACTCATTGCTTTTTCTTTCCAAATCTTTCTAGTTATTGCATGTCTGAAGCCATAACTCTATAGGGAAGTGGGAGATTACAGAATGTGTTTTACAATTACATTTTAGCATCTTGCTCCCAGCCAGCTTCACACAAAAAACACGTGCTTTTTCAAGCAGCTTTATCTTTTGAGAAAGGAAGGTGTTATTGATGTTTCATTTTAGTCTCTTGGAATTAATTAGGAAAGAAACAAAACATGATTTTTACTTGTTCCCCTTAATGAGCACACTCTTTCTTGTTCAAAAATCAAAGCTGAACGACTTTCTACTGTCGCCTGGATTATTCCACCCAACCAGGCAACACTTTCTCCATTTTTTTCTTCTTACAAATTCCACATCTCTGGTCAAGTATCTGTTCACTCAACATTCCTCTAATCATCCATTTGTCTGTCCTTCCATCCATTCCTTCATTTGTTCTCCCCGTTAGTCAGCCCCACTTACCATTCAAGTTACTATTTTTATTCATTGTTGAAATAATTTACCAAATAGTTGATGTTTTCATGTGCATATATTTACTTCATTTCAATAAAAAGTTATTACTGAAAATTTCCAATATTCAGCCCCTATATATATCCTGACAGTGTAAATATAAATTGATGCATACTCATAAAGTTAATTTGGCAACAACTTTGAAAATTTAAAATGCATTTACTTTATGACCCAATGAATTCACCAGCAATAGTTCATTCTGAGTACATGTTTGTATAGGCAAAGACATATGAATAAAGATGGGAATAAATGCTAAACTGCAGATAAACTAAACAACAACATTTGCTAGCTATAGGAAGCTATGTTCTTGTAATTCAAGTCAGTTTCCCAGTCCTAATCCTTTCAATATTATTTCATGTACTAATTAAAATAGACAAAATAATGACATTTCTTTGACAATTAACTTTTCAGATAATATACCTTTGTGATCTATTCTTTCAATAGATTCATACATTCATTAACTTTTTAAATATCTATTTGTTTTATGTGTATGAGTGTTTTGCCTGTATGTATGTTTGCTTGGCCTCTATGAAGGTCAGAAGAAGGCATCAGATCCCCTGGAACTGGAGTTATGGATTATTGTGAGCCACCATGTAGGTGCTAGGAGCCAAACCCAGGTTCTCTGAAAGAACAGGAAGTGCTCTCAAGTACTGAGTCATCTCTTCAGGACTCAAACACAAGTTTGTATTTAATAATATAGTATTAAGCTCTTACTATTTAGTTAGCAACTTTCAAAGAAATATGTTTTTTGGAGTGCATTATGACAAAAGATGTGTGAGACCTAAAATAAAGGTAAAAATTAAAGTATAAAGGAGACAATAGGTGGTTTGGGGAAAAATGAGCAAGTATTTGGAATTCAGGCGATGAGAGAAATGGAGAATTTTTTTTCAGCTTCTGTCTCCTGATGTATTCTAGGTTGACCTTGAACTTGTTTTCCTCCTACCTGAACTTTCCAAGTGTAGGGACTATAGCACCACCATGCCTGGCTCTTCGTTTTAGCTAGGGAATATTTCATTGAATATTTGGGCAAAGACATAAAGGAGAAGACTGAGTTTTTGAGCAGGTAGATAAAACATGTGAAGGCAGTAGGGCTGACCTGAAGAGTAGGCAAAGAATAAAAGGAGTCAAAGCCAGATGAATAATGAAGATGAGGGCCAAATGCAATCTTACAAAACGTTCCAAGGACCGTAGCTCTTATATGAGCTGGAAACTACTGGAGACTTTTGGGCAGAGATAGAGTAGACTCTGGTCTATGTGTTCAAGGGAGGAGGTATTAAAAAATAGATTTGCAGGATAGATCATAGCCCAGAGATGATGGCCACTTAAATAAGAGTGACAATAAGGTTGTAACAAGGTCATAAGGCCAAGAGAAGAGTTGATGAATTTCCTAGCAGATTTGGTGTTAGATTTAAAAAGCAGAGTCATAGACGATTCTCTATCAGTTCAAATAAGGAAAACTAAGTGGACCAGATTGGAAAGGGAGATTGGATGTTTGTTTTAGGATAACTTAAATATAAGATGTCTAGGAGAATTCTGCTATGCTGATGGAAGTGTGATTCTAGAATACTGGACAGAAGTCTAGTCTAGAAATTAAATCTAAGAGTCATGGGCCTATAGGGCCTACCTAAAGCCCTGAAGCTGGATGAGACAGGAAAGGGAGTCCCCAAATCCTAACATTGGTAGTAGAGGTGAAGCCCGCAAGGAGTAGGAGGAATGTCTGGTGGTGTAGGTAGAAACCAAAAGGAGTATACCTTAGTGTCTTGTCCTGTCACTGCGATCGAGTGTCACACACTTGGAGGTCAAATAAATTCTTTTCATGATTGATTAAATTTGTCTTTGTGTAAGCAAATAGTGTGTTCTATCTACTCTCACTCCCACCCTTTCGTCTCTCCCTTCCATGCCTACTTCCCCATAGAGGTCTCTTTTTCCTACTAATCCAGTTTTGTTTTGTGACATCCTGATTTGACAACAGCTTAACTTTTCATTTTCTAACTTCTATCCAAGTTAATGGAAGCAGGCACAGTTCACTGTCATGTCCATTTCCCTAGATTAGAAAAGTGCCTGGCATATATTACAAGTTTAATAAATAATAGTTGATTAAATACATAAGGAGCCTGAATGAGTAGTGCTACTGTGCGTGGGCTTGATCTGCTTGCTGTACAACAGAAGATAATTAGTTAAAAGGAATGAGAATGACAGAAAAAGACCCTTATTACAACAAAGCAGTTGACTGGAAAATGGAAGGCAGTCTCCCTATAAGGGCCATTTTGCAAAGAGGCTGAGTCAGAGGCAGTGTGTATCAGACATGCGATCTCAGACTATTGGGCGCTCCTTACAGACAGATGTTTATGACCCGATGACACATAACTACATTGTTTCTCAGTTCTGCAAGCTCAAGTACAGAGATCATGAGTTTCTCAGGCCAATTTTGTCCATGCTGCATTCGCCTATTTGCAATTCCTGACATATTACACAGTGGACAGGATGGAGCAAGCAGCTGCCCTCAGGCACCATGGCTGACCAACAACCTCAAGGTAAGGACAGAAAATATATTTCGCCATATGGAAGACAAGAGTCAGGGAGGTTCAACAGGGATCTGCTCTCTGCCAGTGTTTTTACTATTTTATAAACATTCACAGCTTTCATGTTTTTGTGAATTTTTTGGACTGTTTCATGGAGCCCAGGATGACCTTGTAGAGTAGCTGAGGGATCTTGAATGTCTGCTCCTCCAGTGAGTTTGAGACCTTCCTGTGTTCAGGAGACCCTATCTTTCTTTAAAAAAATTATTAACCTCATTCCCCTTCCCACCCCTACTCCAGATCCCCTACCTTCCTCAGAACCACCTTCCTCCATCCACTCCTCATAAAGGGCAAGGCCTCCCATGAGGAGTCAACAAAGCCTGGCACATTAAGTTGAGGCTGAAGAAAGCCCGCCCCCTCTCCCCTGCATCGAGGTTGAGCAAGGCACCCCACCATAGGGAATGGGCTCCAAAAAGCTAGCTTGTGCACCAGGAATAGATCTTGGTCCTACTGCCAGGGGCCCCTCAAACAGACCAAGCTATGCAACTGTGGTCCACATACAGTGGGCCTAGTTCAGTCCCATGCAGGCTCCACAGCTGTTTGTCTAGAGCTTGTGAGTTGCTATGAGCTTGGTTCAGCTGACAAGACTCTATTTTGACAGCAACAAAATTAAAGGTTATTGATAATCTTAATGTAGAACCAATTTTCATATATGTTATTAGCCACTAGACAATATTAAATGCAGTTTTAAGTTAATGTTTTCTTTTTAGAATAGCAGGAACAGATTCTTAATAGCATATTGTACTTTTTATATATACACACATGCTCTAAAAAGTCTAATCAAAGATTTCAGATACTAGTTATAAGTTTTACTTTGGGTTTAAGTTGAATGCATGTATAATAGTGTATTTTTCTTAGAATGTATATGTAGTCATACTCCTGATGTCAAATATTAAAACCCATTTCATCTTTGGGATGGTATTCTAAAGAGCATGCCATGTAGAAATAATAAAGAATAATGGAGAATGATGGTGGCTATACTTCAATTACACAAATAGCATGGGTATTCTACATTGTTACCAACAGCCACATCCTTATGATTCAAAAAATCTAAACCAAATGACCCCCTTCCCCCAAAAAGCCTGGTATCTGTTTTGTTTTGGCCAACAACTCCTGGGCATAGTGCTTATCCTAGAGTGTGGCTGATCCATTTGGTGATCCTCCATAGAAAACTTATTTTCCTTTCTCCAGAAAGTATTAATTGTAGGTAGCTTCTTGGTTAGGAGTGAGAATTCATGTCTATGTCCCCTTTTCTATGTTGGGATTTTGTCTGGTATAAAGCTCTGCTTGTTCTGGTCTTTTAGGTACACAGTCAGAGAAGTTGGGAGGGAGAGAGGGATGGTGGGTACAAAGGTTGTTAGGATCTGAGAGGAACTGGAGACTTGAAAACAGATTAAAATGTATTGTATGGAAAATTAAGAAAAAACCCAACAACCAGAATACAGCAAACAAACAAAAACCTAGTATATGTAATACGTACATACATATATATGTATATACACATATGTGTATGTATAAATTGGGGCAGAGAGAGAAGGAGGAAAGTAACATCACACTGAGCAATGGCATGGGTACATGACACTGTGGACAATTTTATTGTATGTACAAGAAGATGCTATTTTAGTCCTGCTTTGCAGAACACTTAGCATCGCTTCCCATGTCCCCACGGCAAAGCAACCTGCAAAACCACAGCAAGCTTTGTTTTGCTTACTGCTTCCTTCACCAGACAAACACGTGACTCTAGACATGCCTGTTGCCAGGTGAAACTGCAGAAGTTGAAGATATGGCCCCCACCAAACTTTGGCCTAGTACCTGCTGCTGAGTCAGAATACATCTTGGGACAGAAGATGCTAGAAGCAAATATTTTGAAATGTCTGAAAGCAAAGGTTAAACAAGTTGACAATAACAAATGCGCTGGCTCCAATGGCCGTTTCCATTTCCTGCTGTAGAGGGTGTCTTATTCACTGTGCAAATATTTGAAGACTTGGGAACCTACAAAAGAACAAAGAAGAAATAAACCTTTGTCTGTGGCCTTACTCTTTGACTTATATTCATTAAAATGATAGAACCGAATGAGCTGACTTTTGTTTGGCTATTTTCATTTCCCTTTTTCTCTTCTACTTCCCCCAGACATGCTGTCCCTAGTTAATACTCTATAGCTCAAAAATCTTTTCAGATATAAAATTCTCTCTTTCAGTTATTGATAGACTTTAATTTTTAATGCTTTTCTTCTCCAACTCTCTTAGTTGTAGTTTTCTTTTCCATGGATCTAATCTCCCTGGAAGCTGGCTTCATCTGTATTATTTCATCCTGCTCATATAAATATTGTCAAAACATTCCCTTCTATTTAACCCCAGAATAGAGCTAATAGATGAAAAACAGGTTACACCTTTTTTTTTTCCTTTCTGAGAGTGGGTAGCTGCTTCTCATGAGGTGTTTGTATCTTAGCAGCTGCTATGCTTAGAAAATATTGATATCTGATGCCCACATCCTTTTCCAGTTATCCTTGGGTATACATTTTTCTATCCATTTCACTATTAATATTTTGCTTTTTATAAACTTTTCATGATATTCTATTGTGATTGCACTTAAACTGTGGTTTTATTTTATAAACTGCCTTTATCCCATATACTCTTTTAACTCATGGCCATGGTTTTAGTTATTTAAAAGCAGTGCTAATATAGTCTAAAGACTTGCTCTATGAATTCTTTCTTATTTTATTTTACTTGAAATTTTTAAAATTAAAATATAGTTATATCATTTCTTCCCCCTTTCTTACCTCTACCCCCTCCTATGTTCTTCCCCAATCTCTCTCAAATTCATGGCCTCTTTTTAATTATTATTGTCACACATACACACACACACACACACACACACACACACACACACACACACACACACACACCTGATGATTCTATTGAGTGTTGCTTGGAGGTGTATGTTTTCAGGACTGATGACATGGTATTGGATAACCCCAGGGAAGACTAAGTTTTGCTTTTAGTGGTCCTTAATTGTCTGAGCTCTTTGTCTAGGAATTGGGCCCTGTGAGACTTTCCTCTTCCGTGTTAGCACATCAATTGGTGTTGTCCTCCTCGTTAAGGTCTTGTTTAGGCATCAGTAAGGTTGAGGTTTTATGGGTGTGGCGGTTTAAAAAAAATGGCTCCCAGAGGAAGTGGCACTATTAGGAGGTGTAGCTTTGTTAGAGTGAGTGTGTCCTTGTTGGAGGAAGTGTGACACTGTAGAGGTGGGCTTTGAGGTCTCATTTGTGCTCAAGTCACGCCCACTTTCTCAGTTCACTTCCTATTGCCTTTGGATATAGATGTAGAACTGTGTCCAGCACTGTGTCTGCCTGCATGCTGCCATACTCCCAGATGCCATGCTTCCTGCCATGATGATAATTGCAACTGTAAGCCACCACCTCAATGAAATGTTTTCCTTTATAAGAGTGGACATAGTGTCTCTTTGACAGCAATTGAAACCTAACTAAGATGATGAATGTACCTTCCCTGTCATTGCTAGGAGACATAATACTGCTGTAGACTTTCTGGCTCTTACAATCCTCTGTCCTCTTTTCAGTGATGTTTTCTGAATCTTAGTGTGGGCGTTGTGTTGCTGATATTTCAAATGAGGCTAGGTACCCCAGGATCAGCTGTTCTCTGCATTTTGACAAGTCATGACTTTCTGTAATAGTATGTGTCTGTGTGAAGAGAAGCTTCTTGATGTGGTGTGAGCTTCACTTATCTGTGGGTATAGGGTAAGTATTTAGATGAAGTTAGGAATTACACTAGTTTAGGAAAGTGACTGTAGTAGGTTTTCTTCTAAGAATCATGCCTCACTAGCCACAGGTGGGTTTCGAGTACCAGGCATGGTTTTCCTTCTGTTGAACAGACTTTGAGTCCAATTACAGGGTTAACATTACCACAAACGTTATGAGTGCCACTATTGTACTTTTGTGGATATCAGTTCTTATTATACATAGGAAAGGAAAACATTACCTGATTTGGAGAATAAAAAAATGGTAAGAAACAAACATCATTTCATCTGTTGTGTTTCTTCTCATTCCATTGTATAAGGTTTGAAAAGTGCCAGAATTTCACAATAATATGACACCCAGATTTTTTGCACCTTCCCAAAAAAAAAATCAAACAGGAAAACATATCTTAAAATGTATGTTTTCCTAATACATACTTTTGAAGTTTATGAAAATGGTGATCTTTTCTGGGAAATACATTCTCAATGTGTTTGCTGAAAATCTTGGTTAGTGAAAGCTTCTATTCACTTTAAAAGCTTTCTTTTACTTTTTCCTTTTTTCAAAGTTTTTTTTTTATTTAAATTAGAAACAAGATTGTTTTACATGTCAATCCCAGTTCCCTATCCCTCTCCTCTCTTCCTGTCCCCCACTATCTCCCTATCCCAACCCCTTTTTGCTCCCCAGGGAGGGTGAGGCCTTCCATGGGGTAATCTTCAAAGTCTGTCATGTCATGTGGAGCAGGGCCTAGGCCCTCCCTCATGTGTCTAGGCTGAGAGAGTATCCCTCTATGTGGAATGGGCTCCCAAAGTCCATTCGTATAAGTATGCTAGGGATAAATACTGATCTACTACCAGAGGCCCCATAGATTTCTGAGGCTTCCTCACTGACACCCACTTTCAGGGGGCCTGGATGCTGGTTTCCCAGCTATCAGTCTGGGGTCCATGAGCTCCCCCTTGTTTCAGCCCTTAATTTGATTATTTCTTGGCCTCTACTCCTCCACGGTGAGTTTGCTTCTTTTTTTTCTAGAGCTTTCAGTTTTGCTGTTAATTCTCTAGTGTGACTATTTCCAGTTTCTTTCTTTCTTTTCTTTTTTCTTTTTTTTGGGGGGTGGTCTTGAGACAGGGTTTCTCTGTGGCTTTTGAAATTGTTCTGGAACTAGCTCTTGTAGACCAGGCTGGTCTTGAACTCACAGAGTTCTGCCTGCTTCTGCCTCCTGAGTGCTGGGATTAAAGGCGTGCACCACCACCGCCCAGCTGTATCTCCAGTTTCTTTATGTGGGCACTAGTGCTATGAACTTTCTTCTTAGCACTGCTTTCAGAGTGTCCCATAAGTTTGGGTATATGTTGTGTCTTTATTCTCATTGAATTCTAGGAAGTCTTTAATTTCTTCCTTGACCCAGGAATGGTGCAATTGCACATTGTTGAATTTCCATGAGTTTGTAGGGTTTCTGCAATTTGTGTTGTTGTTGAATTCTAACTTTAAAGCATGGTGGTCTGATAAGATACAGGGGGTTACTACAATTGTTTTGTACCTATTGAGGTTTGCTATGTGATTGAGGTTTGTATGTGATCGATTTTAGAGAAGGTTCCATGTGGCGCTGAGAACAATGTATATTCTTTTGTGTTTGGAATTGGGTCATAACTTCTGTTAGTTCCTTTGTTTCTTTGTTAAGTTTCTGTCTGGTGGTCCTGTCTAGTGGAGAGAGTGGGGTGCTGAAGTTTCCCACTATAACTGTGTGAGGTCTTATGTGTGATTTGAGTTTTAATAATGTTTCTTTTATGAAGGTGGGTGCCTTTTTATTTGGGGCAAAGATGTTCAGAATTGAGACTTCATCCTAATGGATTTTTCCTGTGATGAATATGAAATGACGTTCATCTCTTTTGATTGATTTTAGTTTGAAGTCTGATTTGTTAGATATTAGGATTTTTACAGCAGCTTGTTTCTTGGGTCCATTTGATTGGAAAATATCCCAACCCTTTACTCTGTAATGTCTGTCTTTGAAGTTAAGGCGTGTTTCTTTTATGAAGCAGAAGGATGGATTCTGTCTTTGTATCCATTCTGTTAGCCTGTGTCTTTTTATAGGCAAGTTAAGACCATTAATATTGAGGGAAGTTAAGGACCATTGAGTGTTAATTCTTGTTTATTTTGGATTTATTGTTGTTGTTGGACTTAGATTTTCTTTGGTCGATGAATCTATTTCTCCTAGTGTAACTTTAACGCCTGAGATTCTGTCTTCCATCTTTTGTATTCTGTTTGTTATGCTTGCATCTGTAGTTCCTGATTTTTTATTTTCTCTATTTCAGTTTTCAAAGCTGGCATTGCTTGAATTGTTTCTTGTAATTTTTGGTTTGTCTTTTCTTTCATTTCTTTAAAGGATTTTCTTATTTCCTCTTTTAGGGTCTTTATCATCTTTATGAAGTTTTTTATTTTATTTTTTTTGGTCGTTCTCTTCTGTTTTATCTGTGTTGGGATGTTCAGGTCTTGGGATGTGTTGAGATGGTGTAGAGTCCCTAGACTCTGATGGCATCATATTTGTTTATATGTTGTTGAATGCTTTCTTATATTGTTGTCTTCCCATCCCTTCTTCCAGTGGGTGCAGGTGGTGTCTCTTTCTCTCCTGATGGGTATGGGTCCAAGGTTCTCTTCTGGTGGGTGCTAGCAGGTCCAATACTCTGATGGGTCTTACGGTGGGGGTGCGGGCGGGTCTGAGACACTCCCTCTCGAGGTGGGTGGGAGGGGGACTTACACAGCCATGTCAGCAGCCTTGCAGTTGCTTGGTCTGCTGGGGACAAGTAGACCTGCCTGCAGTCCCCAGGCCAGGACATCCTAGAGTGGGCAAGCAGAAGTTGGGCCTGAGACAGGGGACCATGCTCATCTCTCCCCTGAGTCCTGTTATATTTTCATCTTAGAGTCCATGCCGTCTTGGTCTGGTCAAAGGATCTTTATGTTAATTTGGTTTAGACCCTTGTGCCAGGCAGAAAAAGGTAATCTTGGTGGTTTGTGAAGTTGTTGGCTAGATGTAATTTGGGGACTAAACCCAAGAAGACTTATTTGCTTAAAGCCAGTCTCACCTTCCATGTATCTCAGCATCATCTGGGGAGATTCAGAAACTTCATTTGTTTGAATCCCATGTGTAGAAATTTCATTAGAATTGGCTGAAGAGGGGAGCAGACAGGAACTGAGTATTTCAAATATCTTGGAGTGGATTCTGCTGCACACAGCTCTTAATCACTGACTTATAATCAGATTGGCCACAGGTATGCAAACAGCCCAATAGTGTCTGTAAGGTTCTAGACAAACCTTGCAATTGTTCTTCTCCTTGGAG